TATTAAACTGCCTTTATCTCAACCCACGAGTTTTCTCCCTTTTACTCTTCCGATTCTCTCCCCCATCCCACTGAGGGGGGTGGGAGTAAGCAAGCAGCTGTGTGGTGCTCAGTTGCTGACTGAGGTTAAACCACAACAGCCGTGCTGCTTGCCTTTAAGGAGGGAGTGTTAATGTTGGCCTACTTTGTTTATTAGTACAGATGCACCATAGGTGTACAGCTGGCCCACTAACACACACTCAAGCCTGTGCTGCTTGGGTTACATGTATAGCAGAACATGAGCGAGCTCATTTCCAACAAGCAAGGAGAAGCATTTTTATTATCCACGATCACACATTTGACATGCCATGCAGACATGCCCTACCAAACAGATATAATTCCAAATCCTATTGCTCTGCTGAAAATTTATAAACCAAGAAACCTCCCAAACCAATACAAAGTGTCCCAAATTCACAGAAAACTAACTAAAAGGAAAAATAATCTATGAGTTTTTTCCACTACATGGAAGAAATGTTTCTTAATATAGTTTGAAACATATTGGGTTTTGAAAATATGCTTTCAATCTGATAAAGCTAATTTCTGTCACAACTCGTTCAAGATAAATGGGCTAGCTTGTGCCCCAGGCCCGTAGCAAACACTGCCAAAGAGCACTGCTCACAAACCCAAGAGGAACCTGAGTTATTGTGTGATAAGGTGATATCAACATTATGCACTCCCAGAACCACACAGCGCTGGGAAAGCTGCTTCTGTGACCCTATTACCACAGTATTGCTGCTCCCTGAGTCTTTGGTGTACTTAACCTGATGAGAGCTTGCAATTATTAAACTTATTTTTGAGATTAGGAAATTAATGAAATACAGAAAGATTTGTTCTCCTTGCTAGCCATCGCTTGGCCTTGTGTGCTTATCATTAATCACAGTGTTTCATTTAAAACATGTCAGCCTCTCCTAGGGTCAGGAGGCTCAATAGGATGGTATGCAAACAGCCTGAATTCCACTTAGGTCTGTACGCCTTGTGTTTCCTCTTGGCTGCCCCCAGGTATCTGCCCCCACACATCACTTCAGTCTCCTGAATCTCCCTGCGGCCACCCTTCAGGGGCCACTAACTCTCTCTATTGCTGATGTGTAGGGACATGGGTGAAATTAATGACTGTGACTGTAGGCTTTCATTTAAAATAACAACCGTTATGAGCCTAGAGAAAAATTTGAAAACTGGACAACAAAGATTTAGACATGTGAAGGACAATAAACCTTACCCTCAGCCTCTATTATTTTTTTTTAACTCTTTTTTTAAGCTATTGTGCTGCTTTTTTTGAGTCCAAAATTCTTAGTGCAGTGTCTGTAACATAATCTATAGTGAAAAGTCTTTGGAGAGGGGTTTTTGATTCTGTTTATATGTGTATTTGGAGCATATAGTGCAGTGGATCTGGGTCCCCCTAGACACTGGCAATAGGGGAGTGGTTTTGGATGGGACTCGACATAGCTGCAGCACTGCAGGGTCTATCAGGCAGAGGCAGAAGTTTCCTCTTGCTTGATTTGGGCTGCCCTTCATGTGTGTACCTGGGAAGACTCCCTGATACTCAGAACAGTGACCCTCAGACATTGTCTTACATAGAAGAGCCCTGTGGAAAGAGTAGAAAAATGAGATCAGCAAGCCTTCAGGTAGGAAACCCTGCAAACAGGCTGCATCTCAGAAACTCTTTCTTAATAACAATATCATTTACAGGCTTAAGACAACAATTAAATGTGCTAAGAGGCTAATCCTTCCTATTAAATAGTTTGAAAGTAGTAATGCACTGGCTAATCTGAAGAAAACACTGAGCATGTAAAATATGAAGGCTGGTGAAAAGATAAAAAACAAATAGTATGGCTGAATGACAGAAGCACAGAAAGTACAACAGGAGATGCAGTAGCAGAAGAAAAAGATATGTAAAAGATCTAGCTATGTAGCTGGATCATAACGACCATTCTGCCCACATACCTATGACCATGGGTCATACTATCATACCATCATACTATGAGGACATCTACCTGTCCTCAAAGTCGAAGGGCTGGATTCAGCATTTGACTAAGCCACAGAGAGCTGTGCAGGCTTAAGCAGTCCCTATGCAGCCTTTCCAGTTCGCTCCTTTATCTTGCAGCAGTATCATCCCTCTGTCCTGCCAGCACAAATGTTTCACGAAACTCCTGATGAACCAGGACAGGCAAATGGTCTGGGATAGTATTTTTTTTCCCTGCTTGGGGGGAAAAAAAAAGTTAATATCTAGCCAGAAAAATTGAATCAATGGGAGTTTTTTGTTTCAAACTGTACATTTATTCTCATCACTGCTTTCTTTGTGCAGCGGAAGAGGGCAGCTGCCTGCTCGCTGTTCCTCCTTTCTTGTGTGGCACTGCTTGCCCAAATCAGAAGAGCCCAAGAAGCACATACAGCAGTATCTGCTCCACGCCAGCACGTTACACAGCAATACAGCTGCCTTAACCCTGATTCATTTCACTACTGGGATTTGGGTGCGCATTGAGGGAGAATAGAGCGGGGAGGGTTAAAATCCATACTAAATACTTTAGATAAGATTCACATCATTTAAGGTTAGTCACCTGGTTGTACAGGCTTTCTCTATAGTCAAAGGGACAAACCAGGCACCTCCTGAAAGCAGTTATCCCGCTCTGCGCTCGGGGGGGGGAAGACAGTAGGGATGATGTGCGCTCCAACAGAAGCTTCTTATCTCTCTCCACTGATTATGAAGGTTGCCTGGATTATTAGTTCAAATTTATAAAATTAGCTTCCAGGTGGCTA